GAGGTTCACGAGGCTCTCATGAGACTACAGCATAAAGAAAACCATTGATGCACCAGCACAAAAAAAAAAAATCAAAGAATACTCCTGTAACAATCGCAACAAGGAGCAGCAGCTACCATTAATAGAGTAAACAAAGAGAGAAATTGTCAGCTTTGTTACTGAACAGAGAGACTGAAGAAAGAGTAAAAATAATAGTTTCCAGGGAATATAGGCCCACTGATGTGGGTAGGAAGTTGCTCCTGCCAGCATTTGTTACAATTACTTTTCCCCATGCTGTAAAGGGAAATCTGATCGCTCTATTTAATTATTCAGCACTGTGATATCTCTCTTCCCTAGTTTACTCAGAGGGGGCTTAGAAGAACAAAACCTTTCTGTAATAGCTGTGTATGCAGTCAATTAAAGAAGCTGTCAGCTCTTGGTATGATTTCCACATGGGCAGTGTTTGAGATATGTTGCTAAATACATTCTTCTTTTTCAGCTTTACATCTTCAACCGGGGGGGGGGGGGGGTTGCCGGAAGGGGGAGAAGAAAAATAAGCCGTTATTCCGACCACATACCTCAGAAAGATTGTATATTTGATGACTGCAACTACAAGATTTCATGTCCTCTCTAAACCTACTTTATCTTATGTGCCAAGCACCAGGATACAGCCAAGCAAGGATGTTCAAAGCATACTGTCAATTCATCAGTTTTTCAGAATTCTTGATCATCTGGGTATTTTATAGAGTTTATAATCTTTGATGTGAATAACTCAAGCATGTATACTTTGAAGATGCCCCCTGAAAATGTTCTTGTAGAATATAAAAACCAAAGAGGATGAGGGAGGATGGATTTTTAAAAGTATCAATACTTACAGAATGTACTTTTCACCATTTCCTTGTCTTTAATAATAGTACATTTATCCAAAATACTCGAATAAAGCATAACAGCATAATGTTCTGGTTCTTTAGTTTGTAAGCTAGCCAGATTGTTTTACCATGCTCATTTTGTGAGAATTTGTATGTTAGTATATATAATAAATATATCTAATATACGGAGACTAAAGAAACAGATTCATGCAACGTATGTTTAGACAAGGTTTGCTGGTGCAGTTAGCAGTGTCCAGAAATTCCAGGTACTGATCCATTTTGTTCAACAGGATTGTAACATATTAAGCTTGTTGATTACCTACCAAACAATAATGAAAACATCCCACATAATGTGGGATTAAGGACAGAAACTTGAGGCCTTCATGAGTCTGTATGTCACAGTTCCCTGTGACAAATGAAGCAGGATGTTGAAGCAAAACAAATAAATAAATAGATGAAAACAAAGCCTGTATTTGTTTGTAAGAGATTAAACTTCACAAAAAATATCTTAAATATTGAAGCAAAACAAGTATATAAATAGATGAAAACAAAGCCTGTATTTGTTTGTAAGAGATTAAACTTCACAAAAAATATCTTAAATATTTTATATTTTGGTATATGTAAATCCTTCATGTTTGTAAATGGTACAAATACAGAAAAGTTCTATGTAATAACTTCATTTAAAAATATAATTGGATTCCACAAAACTTGTACTAAAACCAGGAAAAACACCTGTGATTATTTGTAGGCTGTGACAGATAGTAGAACAAGCATCAATAGCAAAGGGAATGTATAGCAACCAACAAGGCTGGAATTTAAACAAAAGCTGAGTTATGGTAATAGCTGGACAAAAATAACTATCTGAATGATTTTAAAATTTCCATGAAATCATTCATTGGAAAAGGCTGAATTACCAAAGACTTTAAAATGAAAAAGCTAGGAAAAATTAATACTTTTGAAACATGCATGTAATGCTGTTATGCCTGTGTGAAATCAGAAAAGGTATCCAAACAATAATTCCTCTGTTTTTTACTGATGGTGCTTAAGAGATGCTTTCTCTGAAGGTTAGCATATTGAGTGTGTATTAAAAGCACCTTTCACCACTCTTGACAGGGAAGCTATATAAAATGGCAAGTAACATTTTATAAATTATTTACAATGCAGTTCAGATGAGAGCAGGCCACTAAAATATTATCTAACAATAATCAAGAAGGTGCAGTGAAAGCATGTGTGAATAGCGAAATTCAGAGGTGCTGAACTGGGCTTTCCAGAAACTCTGTGTTCCTGCACTTCTCCTCCCAGCTAAACCCCCTTTGAAGCCAGATAAGTACTCTGGGCATCAGCCTGAAGTCTGTATTAGACACTGCTTGAGAACTTCTTGGGATGCTGTTGTTGGCACCGACAGCACAGGTGATGAAAGTTTACTGAAATGCCCATCAACATTTGTGTACCTCTTGTTTTTAATCCGTGTCCTTGAAAGTGCACAAAACTATCTAACAGCAGAAACATGGAAATTTGTTCTAGATTTCCCCCAGGGATGTGAACTACTCTGAACTCTGGGAGATGGAAAAAACTTCTGCAAGGTTCTATGGTTTTAGGGCACTAATTGTAGCTGATGTCATGACACAGATAACAAGGTACTTTTCCTTTGTCATAAATAAGAGATGTGCACTGTATGTGCTCTCTCCCTAATGCATATTCTAGTCTTTATATTACTATCAAATATTATAAAGCAATGTTGGAGTGTAGGTTATTCACTCATCAGGGATATGTAAATCCTGTTAATTTTAGAAAGTATGTTTAATAAAATTGCATCATTGGCAGAGACCTTTTTATGGCTCTGTACTGTGTTTCTTAGACAGAGAAAATCCTTTGCATAAGGTTCAAAGACAAAAATTGTTTTCCAGAGGAGCTGCGTGCCTAGGCTGCTTAGGCATTTTGAAAATCCCACTAGGCCTCTATTTACAGCTTTTTGGCACCTAAATGCACTCAAAAATCTGGCTCGGGAGTTATTACAGTAACACAAAGGAATAATAACTTACGTTTTTCATGCCAGAAGGATTTTACTGGCACTGAGCATCTTGATGTTACACTGGGGGAAATTATATTTACATATTTGAGAGCGCTGAATTAATTATAACATAAAATAAAACTTTGTTTAACATATGTAAAGAACCTGTTTTCAGATACACTGTTCCTTGTAAGGCCTGAGATTAAGTGTTTTACCAAGCCTATGAAAGCTGTAAAGAGGGAGATGGCCAGTGTTCAATTAGTTGTGGTTGATTAGTAGTATGAAAACCAGACATGGAGCAACCAAACTAGGTTGCTCAGCCTTAATGCCAGATCCATCACTATTATTTTTACTTTTTCTTCCTTGCTGCTGTTCTTTTCCTTCAGCCTCTCAAAGTCTGCTTGTCCAATTTCCCGTTCCTATGAAAATATCTTATATAATTTTAAGATATCCTTGAAATGATACATTTTGACAATTTAATGTTATGAATCAGAAAGAGGAGCAGATATTTTGGCTTCTGGGTTATCCTTAAGCAAGGGAGGAAATGAATGGAGTCTAGTATATGTACTGAAGTATGTACATATTTTCTTCATGGCCTCAGGAAGACCTCAGCGCTGAAAGCTCTATATTAATTTTTGATGGCTATTTTCTATTCTCATAAAACTGTTTCTTTATATCTGTGTAGTACAGTTGAAGCAGCAAGAGTTATAGGGCTGCGAAAATGTCAGTAATACTTTTATAATTTAATTTTATACTCACAGTCATAATTGCAGAAATCAGGTTTTGACTCATTTTTCCATAACTCAGGTTGTATATCCATCTGTGATAAAATGGCTGAAAATAAAGTTGATAGTTGATCTATCTTAGGTAGGATTTTTCCACCTTGCTTCCTCTCTTGAACATGAGCAATGAGAATTGCAAGATATAACATTTCTGACGCATTCTGAAGAACTGGTAAAATCCAAATTCTCTGCTATGCTAAAAATAAAAATCCAACTTGACATGGAAATAGGGCTATTTATCACTGAAGTAAATTTGTGATGAAATAAATGTTTGTGCTGTAAACCTGTTTGTTTGCACTCAGTTTGCGCTGATGGAAATAGAGAGTGACACCTCGCTGGATCCAACACAATGTCTGCAGCAAACTTTAGCATAGTACTCTGATGACCAATACCCCATTCTCTGGGAGAGGAAGGTAGTTTCCATAGTCTCTTCTGTAGCTGTTTGGAGATCACTTTGTGCCTAAAAGCAGGAGAGTAGTTATCTTTTCCCTACTGTACCTGCCGCAGATACCAGTACATACTAGGGTAAATAGTAGAAAGCAGTGTTGGCAATGCACACCAAAGTTATATTTAAACACATCTCTAATGCTTTCTCTTTCCTTTTGTTGCCTTACTAGCAAAACAGGAAAGTGTTTCTTTTATTGTAAAGTCAATTTCAATAACTTGTTTTTGTTTGCTCTCTTAAATGAAATTAATTACATGGAAATAGCAAGCGTACAGGTGTAAATACAGGTACAAATACAATATTTTTTTATACTGTTATTTAGTTGTATTCTAAGACATAGTTCTTAACTAGCAATAAGAGGAATTAATTTTATTTGGTTTTTTTTTTTTAATAAATTGAAAATTATTGTGCCCTGCAATTTAGAAAAGTGAGATTTAAAAAAAATTTGAAAGCAGAAATTGATGGAACTGGGCCATTAAACCAGCTGAAGACCTGGATGATATTTTCAGATAAGTTTGCCATGACCAATATTATTTCGATAAAGTCTTTACAGGTAATGGCTATTTTTTAGAACAAAATCATATTTGCACCTGTCTGGAGTACTTCTGTACATGAATTCCCTGCTGGTAGAAAGCAAATGATGTTTCTGCTTGTGTAGCACCTGGTTTTGATTTCAGAGGGGAAACAGAAGAAAATTACTTCAATGGGTGGTGACATTAAATACAGCTGCTGTCTGCCAGAAAGCATGTTATCCCCCTTTTACCCAAGTGAAAACACTTCTACCTTGCATCATGGATAAGATCAGAGCTCCAGCTGTATTCTCCCAGAGGAAGAGACAGAAAGGGATACGTACTCCAAACCTTACTTGCAGTTATGAAATAAAGTTCAATGAGTTTGTCATTTTTATTATGCAGAGGAAGATGGGCATGACCAGAAGGACATTTTTGATGGAGCTGGCAAGAAGGAAAGGCTTCAGAGTAGAAAGTGAGCTAAGGTAGGAAAATATTTATATGTGTAAAAATAACATGTAGTAATGCTGCTTGAAACATTCTTATTTGATAAATGCAGTCATAAAAGTGCCTGTGGTTGAAGCTTTTGCCTGTGTATTGGTGGATGTACTTTGCTTTCTGACTATAAAGATGCTTCAGGATTTCAATAGGTGTTCCTAAAGTGTGTCTTCTGAGCAGAGAGTAGGTGCAATATAAACAGCAACATTTCTTATTTTTCATCTCTAAACTCTGTAGTTTTAATTTGTTTTAAGTCTGTCAATTTTAACATGTCTGCCTTTTCAGGGTGCAGCTTCTCACACAGAAAATAAAAAATGCAAGGTGTGAACTTGCAAATATTTTTCATGGGATAGGTTTCTGTGTATCTGTATAGTCTCAATGGAATCAATGAGTTATGCCTTCACCTGATTTAAATAGGCTGTTATTTTCCCCTTGAAGTCAGATAAAGATTAATCTGAATTTAAAGGCCACTTCCTGAAATGAAAAAAAAGATTAGACATATAGGAAGAGAAAATGTGTGTGTGTGTGTCAGGTCATTTCTTTAGAAAATCTCTGATAGTCTAGTATTTAATCTTCTTGTGAGTAATACTCTGATGTGAGTCTCAAAGTTACTGGCTTACATTTTGGTACAATCTGGAAGAGCACTGGAGAAAAAAAATGTAAGACTAAAATACCACAGATGTGGCATTTCAGGGTGAAAATGTACTCCAGCTGTAGATTCATCCCATGGTGTTTCAATAACCCAACGCATTTTGAAGGAAGCCTTCTTCCAAATAGTGCTTGTCATGAGTGCTAGTTGTACAGTTTTGCAGTTTTTGGAAAGATACATCATTATGTATGTTGTCTGAAAAGCTGGAAGAAAACCTAGTATTGATCGTTTCTCTGTATCTGTATGCAGATAGTATACAACTGGGTCCTCCTTATAAAAGCTCATTTCCACAGATTTTTCAATCCTATCAACTTTGAAAGCCTGAGGAAGAAGGGAGGATGAAATAATTTGTAAAGCAAGATTCAAGCAGGTATTGAGCAGAAGTAAGTAATTAGAGTCTGATACAAAACTAATTGAAGTCTTAGGGAAAAAAAAATTAAGTGGGCTGTTCTGAAACCTACATTAACAACCCATTGAGGACTGAGTAGAGGCTTTATCTGAGCTGCTTTGACACACAGGTGTTTATTGCTAGTATTTCAGACTTTCTGTAAGTTGTATGCAAGGCAGGAGTTGTGTTTAATTTCAGCTTAGATGCTACTGGATAACACTATTTAACTGTTGATTTTTAATTTTTTTTTTTAATACTAGAGAAATTGCTAAATCTGTTATATTCTGTGCCAAGAAAAAAAGCACAGCTGCACAGGTACCAGAGGAAACTGGTGCACAGCAGCAACAAAACTGCTGCTGTGAGCATAGTAATGGCAATGTTCCCAGAGCTGCAGCTTGGTATAAATATATTACATATGAATATTTTATATAAAGTGAAATAAACCACAGGAAACAGAAGTTCTATGTCCCTAACTGAATTTTTTTTTTTTTTACTCAACTAAAGATGTGATGGTTTAGTGACAGTTGAATTGAGCAGGGTTAAATAATAATATTAGTAGCACTTTTTTTCTTGTTCCGTTCTTTTTTTTTTATTATTTTCTTTGTTGAATTTTTGTGTAGGTTTTTGTTGTGTTATTTTTGTTGCAATGGGTTTTACTTTATAAGTTGTACACCATGGAGGAAAAAATTGTGGTATAACATGATGTTTTTAATCTTTCTGAAATGTAATATATTCAGTACATTTCTTATGTTTCCAAAATGTAGTAGATTTAATTCATTAGAGAATTAATGTGATAAGTTTCTTCTGGGATGACTCCAGTATTTGTCACTGCGACTTGGCAATTTAATGAAATCCATGGTTATTGTTAGGAATCAGGGTCACAGGGTTTTGTTGGTCTCCTGGAATGCAGTTTGCTTTGAAAGGTGGTGTGGTCTGCCTTTAACAGCTACACAGCTGTCTCTACCAGTGCTGTTCTCTTTGCTTGGACAGGTTAGTGGCTTAGTACCTTCAGGTGTTACAGAAGGGCTGCAAAGCAATCTGTTGGGTCTGTTTACTGTGTACACACAAGGCTGTCACCAGATGGGCTACCAGGAGGTTATGGAAGCTCGCAAATAGAGGTGGCTGCCATCAGGATAACTTTTATTCCAGTTCTAGGCTTATTTTTATAAAACCTATATAAAATAATGATATCGTCTGTCTGTGCCTTTCCCCCAAGAGATTTAGGAATTTATTGATACCAGTTATTTTTAGCATATATTTTTGAGATACTGAGGTCCTACAGGTTTCATGAAAATGAAGAGCTTGCTCCTTTATTTATTATCTTTGTGGGTGACAGCACCTCCCTAGGGTGTTTGTGGAGGGGGAACCCTAGGAATCACTCCGAATTTCTATCAAGTTACTAGTTTTCTAAATTTGCTGAGGAGCACCAGCAGGTCAGGTAGAAATTTACAGACCATCCTTAATATGTGTGTAATTTTTTCTTGAAACTTTGTCCCTGTCTTTTACCTTCCTGTGAAAGGTGAAGAACTGTATCTTTTTAATTATGAAGTATCGTGGGATTCTTTCTAATGTTATTCTAGGACGCCAGCCCAAATTTAGTGTAACAACATTTGTCTTACTGCATTTTAAGCCATGTACACCATATAATCTGATGCACAATAACTCGATCTGTAAATTTCACATTCACTAAACTAGGATAGCAGTTTTGTCAGAGGCTGGCCTCTTAGTAGCAAGGAAGTGGTCTTTAGATGGAGAGCATAATTCATAAGATTTAAGTCATCAATATTTGACAATGCCATATGTAAAGATCGTAATGTAAGTGCAGAAAAGTTAGGTTTACAGAAAGATATTACTAGCTGTAAAGCTTAAAGAATTATTGTTAGCAGACTTTTTAATGCTGTAAAGCTTTCATTCATTGATCAGAAGGGCCTCTTGGGTGTCATAAAGCAGCCTTTTCATTATGGTACTGCTTCTACAAGCCAAATATTTTCAGAGTTTCAGAAAAAAAGTGTGATAGTATCCTAGGGAAGGAAAATGATGCTCAAAAAAAAAAAAAGCTGCATTTATAGGAGCCGTCAGACTAAAGTCTTTCCTCAAACTAGATTCAGTGACTGCAATAGATATTTTGTGATATGAAACCGAAACTGGTTCCCACATCCTAATGTAGAATATATACTGCAGTTTTCAGGAAGTGCATGGTAAGTAAATATGGAAATAGCAGCTCTGCAAATGTGTTCAGGAAAAAAATATATTTCTTTTTGTGTACTTTTTGACAGTGACTCTGTCACACATATTGTGGCCGAGAACAACTCCTACCCAGAGGTGCTGGACTGGCTGAGAGGACAGGGTGTGGGCGATAGCTCCAGATTTGAACTACTGGATATCTCTTGGTTTACAGCCTGCATGGAAGCGGGAAGACCAGTTGATTCAGAAATGAAGTATCGTCTCATGGTAAGAGAGATCCTTCAGTGCAAATCATAGAATCATAGGTTAGGGTTGGAAAGGACCTTAAGATCATCTAGTTCCAGCGCCCCTGCCATGGGCAGGGACACCTCGCAATAAACCATCTCACCCAAGACTCCATCCAACGTGGCCTTGAGAACTGCCAGAGATGGAGCGTTTACTGCTTCTCTGGGCAACCCATTCCAGTACCTCACCACCCTCATAGTAAAGAACTTCTTCCCTATATCTAACCTGAACTTACCCTGTTTAAGTTTGAACCCATTACCCCTTGTCCTGTCACCACAGTTACTGATGAAGAGTCCCTCCGCAGCATCCCTATAGGCCCACTTCAGATACTGGAAGGCTGCTATGAGGTCTCCACGCAGCCTTCTCTTCTCCAGGCTGAACAGCCCCAACTTTCCTAGCTTATCTTCATATGGGAGGTGCTCCAGTGCCCTGATTATTTTCATGGCCCTCCTCTGGACTTGTTCCAACAGTTCCATGTCCTTTTTATGTTGAGGACACCAGAACTGCACACAATACTCCAAGTGAGGTCTCACGAGAGCAGAGTAGAGGGGCAGGGTCGCCTCCTTCAACCTGCTTGCTGGTCACGCTCCTTTTGACTCAGCCCAGGACACAGCTGGCTTTCTGGGCTGCAAGCGCACACTGCCAGCTCATGTTCATTTTCTCATAGACCAACATCCCCAAGTCCTTCTTCAGAGGGCTGCTCTGAAGCTCTTCTCTGCCCAACCTGTAGCTGTGCCTGGGATTGCTCCAACCCAGGTGTAGGACCTTGCACTTGTCATGGTTAAACTTTATGAGGTTGGCATCAGCCCACCTCACAAATGTGTCAAGGTCACCGGAGTGGTCCACCTATCAAACTGATGTCTCTCCAATTTAAAGACAAGAATGTCATGTGGGACAGTGTCAAACGCTTTGCACAAGTCCCGGTAGATGACATCAACTGCTCTACCCTGTCCATCCATTCTGTAACCGCAACCTAGAAGGCCACGAAATTGGTCTGGCAGGATTTCCCCGTAGTGAAGCCATGCTGGCTGTCACCAAGCACCTTGTTGTTTTTCATGTGCCTTAGCATGCCTTCCAGGAGGATCTGCTCCAAGATTTTGGCAGGCACAGAGGTGAGACTGACTGGTCCGTAATTCCCTGGGTCATCCATTTTCCCCTTCTTGAAAATGGGGGTTACATTCCCCTTTTTCCAGTCGTTGGGAACTTCACCTGACTGCCATGATTTTTTTATATACGATGGACAGTGGCTTAGCAACTTCATTCGCCAGCTCCGTCAGTGACATTCAAAATACAGTGACAGTAAAAAATTCAAAATACTAATAAAAATTTCAAAATATGACATACAAATACAAAACTCAGAATACAGTGACGTTCAAAATGAATTACTGTGTGATTATTTATTTATTTACTTTTAACCTGAAATCATATATAGTTATGTTGTGACAGCATTTCTGACTTCAAAAACTTTTTTTTCCTTAAATTTGTATGAGTAATTTGCATAAGTTTAGTAGATGAAAAAGACTTTTCATATCTTCTGTATCAGTGTTTGGTAATGTGAAGTTACCACACTGTCACATGTTCCAAAAAAAAGGTGGGTGCTGTTAAAGGGGAAATATCCATATCTATCAATGCAGCACTTGCTGTTGTTGTAGTACCTGTAGCATTCCCCCAAATTTTTCAGCATCACGGTAAATGTTCCCCTGAGAGCAGTGCATTTTAACAGGCTTTTGATGGAATGCTTTGCCTCTTCAAAACAATACAAAACTATTAAAACCTTTGCTGTTTGGAAATGATCATCTGACTGCTTGGCCGTTGAAGGACCTGTGAAATGGAGACTGCTACAGTCTGGATATGGATTTACAAACTTGGTACCATCAGGTAGAACTGTGCAAAGAAAAAGAGGTTTTATTATATTGTGTTATCTCTCAATGGGAGCTGTAATTCAGAGGATATTGTGAATGGTGGATTGACTATTTAGAATCATAGAATATTTAGGGTTGGAAAGGACCTTAAGATCATCAAGTTCCAAACCCCCTGCCATTTGGTAAATGGTGTCTGACCTCAAAGCAATGGATGTTGACATGTTTTCCTCTGATCTATATATGAGAAAAGAATGTGCTAGTTTTTCAAACTGGAGCATAGTGTGAAATGGTGGTATTCAGTACCCCCAGTAGAGACTGTTAATGATGAGGGTGTGGTAGGAATGCCGTGTTGTGCACAGCTCAATGATGGCATGTGTTGCTAGGCCATGAAATAACCCTGCAGTGCAGCAGGATGAACCTGTTCTCTTGTTCTGCATGCACTTGAGCCTCACAGTGATTGATTTTAATGTGTGCTGGTGAGGAAATTAATTCATACATCAGGAGAATTAAAGGTCTGATCTAAACTGAAGTAAAGTGAGAGATTCCTGCTAATTTCTGAAGGTTTCCATGTGAATTGTCACCCCCCTGTAAAATGATAACTGGCAAACCCATAAACAGTGGGACCATGGCAGGATCTGCAGCATGTACTTTCCTGTGAGCCCTAGGATGCCTTAATATTTAACAGCAATACTGTGATGTTTGCTGCTTCTTCACACTGATGCTTAGATTACTAAGGATGATTCATAACTGCCACCCTTCCCCAAGAAAAACTGTAGCTCCTGATTTATTTTTTCAGTCAGCTTTCATTGCCAGAAACTATTTTTCAGAATTTTACATGTAAGAATTGCTGTTTAATGACACTTGGCGGGGGGAGTAGTGAATACACCAGATGGAGCTGTCACTCTCAGACTGGACATAATTCCATGACAGAATATGTGTTTATATTTGCAGTCCTTCCAATGAAATATTTTTTCTAGTATATTTATAACAATTTCAGCGAATCTGCTGGAGGGAGAATAGACCAAAGAAATCGATGCAAAACAAAAAACTGAAAATCTTGTAACTACTGCATTACGTAATCTCACAGGCAAAAATATGGTCATAAAAATATGGCTACTCAGAATGCAAAGAAGTTCTCTAAACAAGAAATAAATCTAAAATGTGAGCAAAATCCTGTGAGTTTTGTGGATTTTCACACCATGATTAAAAGTAAACCAAATTACCCTTTATTTACATTATTAATTTCAGCAGTACATGAAGATCTATTGGTTCAGATAGCTCAGAAAATATCTTTTAATAGATTTACTTTTCTTTTTTTTTTCCCCCAAAGCAAGAAATGCCTTTGTCTGTCTCCAAAATGCCTCCCAACAGTGCTGAAGCTTACTTTTAAGAAAAAAAGAAAAGAAAAAAAAAAATCAATGAGAAGGCCACTGCTTTAGTTTTCTTTTATATATAAAAATCCTTCTCGAATACTGCTGGAGCAGGAACTTCTGCAAAAGGTAACAACACTGTCAGGAGATCATTATTATGCTTTGAGACTGGCTCTGCAAGTAGGAATTTCTGGTTTTATTGAAACATAAAGATTTCATGCTAATAAATGTGGAGTGCAATAAGCAAGCCAGTGACAGCTGTACAATTAACTTTAAAGCATGTAGTTAAGACCAGTCTTAATTATGTAGTGGATCTAAAGTAATAAACATTTTTGTAAAGCAAATAAGGAAGAAAGAGAGAGGATTTTAGAAGTTGAGCCAATTTAAAAAGAATTTTATTGTTGCGATGTCACCATGATTTTTTTTTTTTTTATGCCTTGAGAGATGAGAAAGGATTGAATTAAAGGTTAATTTTCTTTTTAAGTACTAGACCGAACTCATACATAATGTAATTTAATTGGAGCTTCACTGAAGACAAATTTGGTCCATTATGTCAGACTTGTAAAATGTGAAATGAAAGTGAATTAGCGAACTTTGAACTCAGGCTACATTGTGAAGGCTTTGAGGTAAAAGGAATAGATTGCATTTGGCTAATGTTTTGGGTGAAGTCTTGTTTACATGTACGTTAGTGATACAATTCCTATTAATAGCAGTAAGATTTAATTTTTCAGATCTTACAGTAGCCTGTTTGGAAGGTCATTCTTCATTCAGGACATTTGTACTAGAAAGAAATGTCCTTCATGCAAAACAAGGGGAATGAAGTCAGAGTCACAGACCATTAGCTAACATACTAATTGCAGTCGTCACTAAAGTACATCTTTCTGCTGTTGTGAGTGATCTGAGAGATGCTCTGATGATAGTGATTTATAGAGTATAAAAGGTTGGATGACCAGATCAAAGATGGTCTGAATTCTTATTGATTCATTCAGTAATAGTTGACTTTTACAGTTAATAGCTATCATTTAATTTAATAGGCTGTGAAACTGTGGTAGCCAAACATCTGCTTTAAAGGGAAATTCAAACTTCTGGTAGAAGAATGTGTTTGTCCAGAGATACCTGGGCATTTTGGACAATAGCAGGACATGGACATTAATATGTATGCAAAGTCATCCTCACATGCTAGAAAGTAGTGCTGTTCCCTGGGTAATAAAAAGAAAGAGGCAGAGGGGAAGCTTTCAGAGGGATAAAAAGAAAGCAAGAGAACCATAAGTGGGTTGGCATGCACAGCAGCCTTATGAACTCTGTTGTGACTGCATATCTTCTGTCTTTTCCTTAGTCAGAACCCAGAAGTTGTTATTTTTATTTTTTTTTTGAAAGAGAAATATTTATTTTGTTGAACAAGGGATTTCCCTTCATATTAGGAAAAGGAAGTAGTACATCTTTGGATCCTTTGCCATATCATGTGACAGGCAACCGATATGTGACATCTTCCAGAGTGTCTTGCTCTGTTTCCTTGTGAGAGAGGCTCTAACTGATGGTAGAAATTCTTCATACTAACAGTCATTTTCCCAGAAAATAAAATGAAACTTATAAACTGTCTGCCTTGTCTTCATAAAATACTGGATATCTGCAGACTTCAGTATTTGACCAATGCTGCCCGGGCTTCACAAAGCTGCTGGCTGTTGAATAATGTGGCCCGGCACAGCCTCTAGTATCTGCACACTTTATTTACTGCTGCTCCATATTCTCTCTCTATTATTTCCCTATGTTATTATATTTCTTTGTATTAAAAGAATAGATTGACAAAGAGTAAAATAGTACCCTACAAGATCACAAAGGCAACTAAGCCTTTATGCTGTACAAGCTAATGCTAGTGGTACAGGCCGATTTTCCTTCTTATGCCATGTCGAAAATGTCACTGTGAAGGAGTGGCAGTGACATTCATTGTTACTGCAGCCTGGGTTTGGGGTACAAACTCTGACTAGCTCTAGAATTAAGTAGTCTACACATTTGGGTACTTTTCAGTGGTTTCCTCTCTGCAGTGTACTGTAATTTCATTTTAATGTACTGGAGTTATCTACAAAAAAAAAAAAAGAATTGTAATGCTTACAGTTTTTTCATACCCATAGTTGTTTCTTCCTAGTATTACAAATTATTTTGAGGTAGTGTGAGTTTCCAGGATTGCTTGTTCTACAGTGTAATTGCTTCTGGATGAAATGTTAAGTTTGTCCCATAATCTGTACAAATGATTTTATCCCATCTGGTCTTCCCACCGAAAAGCAATATCAATCCTGTGCTTTGATTCTGCTGATGATAGAAATTCATGTATGTCATTGTCATGCAGGCATTGTAATGATTTTGCTATTGTTTTCTAGCTGAAGTTTCTTCTTTTGTTATATATAATCAAGTCCTGTTATTTAAAAGCATAACTATGATTGATTAAGAAATGCTCAAATATCTTTGATAGGGCAGAGACAGGATGTTTATGTGCCAGTTTGTCACCCTTTTAAACACAAATTTTCTGTGTTAATTTTGCTCTCGTACACAATGCCAGGTAATGCTACATGTAAGACTCTTGTTCTTTGTGTCTATGTCCTAATGAAGATAATAGCTTATTATATGTTCTATTCACTAACATTCTGTTGGTTCAGAGTCTTTGCAGCTGGCACTATAAGTTCAAGTGTTGTGTTAGAATCATAGAATCCATTAGGTTGGAAAAGACCTTTAAGATCATCAAGCCCAACCATTATCCCAGGACTGCCAAGACCACCACTAAACCATACCACAGGGTTTCATCTATATGGCTTTTGAACACTTCCAGGGGCAGTGATTCTATTACTTCCCTGGGGAGTCTGTTCCAACGCCTAATCACCCTCTTTGTGAAGAAGTTTCCTAATATCCAGTCTAAACCTCCCTTGGTGCAGCTTGAGGCCATTACCTCTTGTCCTACCCCTTGCTCTTTAGGAGAAGAGACTGAGCTGTGCACCTCAGTGCAATCTTCTTTCAGGTAGCTACAGAGAGCGTAAGGTCCCCCCTGAGCCTTCTCCAGACTAAACAGCCTCAGTTCCCTCAGCCATTCCTCATGAGACTTATTCTCCAGACCCTTCACCAGCTTTGTTGCCCTTTTCTGGACCTGCACTTGCTGTAATCAATCATTGTTTAGATGTTTTTAAAATCAATTTTAAATTCATGAATGTGTGCAAAAGAGGATGAGTTGTGCTGTTGATCGTGGCTGAAACCCATTTTGGTTATTCCCAAGAGTGGTCTTACACATAACATAGCTTACTTCCTTTCAGTGTATACTATAAAAACTGCCATATAATTCACTGCTCCTTCAGCTGTGCAAGCAAAAGATATTTTGTGTGTGTGTGTGTGTGTGTGTGTGTGTGTGAATATTGTTATTTAACTATTCTGCATCAAATACAAAGGCAATTTAGCATGAAATTATATGTGGGCTCTGTGTGTGTGTGAAGGCACACACATATTTATAAGTTTGTCTAGCACAGATGCTAGTTTTATGTCTGCATGTCTTTAGGTACAGGAGAGAAAGGGCTCAACATTCCATTTTTGGGTAAAAACTTCTCTTTTGTATCTTTGTGGTATTTTTGTTGTTGTTGAACCATTTCCCTGTGGGTTTTGGATAGTGCAATGCAATATGCTTTTAACAGATCTGCCAAATGTCTTCAGACAAAATGACAAGTAGCAAACAATACACAGAAACACTGAGAACATTTTCAGCATTTCCAAAGTATTTTGGATTTAGGCATTTTTAATGAAACCAAAGGAATTAAAAGAGTGGGCATATAAAGCAGAAGGTTGGTGCAAGGTTGTCTTTTTGTAGTTGCCGTTGAGGATATTGAAGACTCGTGCTCTTGTGCCAATGGGGACATGACTACATATATTATGTTTTGAGAGAATTCCCTTCCCACACTACTGGGGGACTTGCTCAATCTCGCATCAAAAATAAGCGAAAAGCAAATGCAAATGTAGGTAGCCTGGGCATGGAAAACTCGCATGTGGCACCTGGATCCTTTTCCTTGCTCAGTGAACACCTAAAAAGGATACTGAATTGGATCAACCATGTACTGAAGGGACTGAGTGCGAAACCACATAATAAGGTGAATGCTGGCTGTTGGGTGAAGGCATTGGAGGTGACTCTTCTATGGCTGGCTGTAAATGTTTCCTTAGCTTTATAATGACCCCAAAATAGAACATTTAGCTTAATGAATTAAATCCAGACAAAAAATATTTTCTTTCATTTTATCTGGAAGGGGAGGGGGAAAGTGAATTTTGAAGTAACACGAACGTTTTTCCTTCATTACTGAGTCTGGCTACAGATCTCAAAAGTCAATTATTTGAGATTTGAGCAACTCTCTCTCTTTTCCGCCCCCCCTCCCCGATATAATATTGAATAATCTAATGTTTTCCAGGAAAACTCTGTTCTTTCAAGCTTGCGCACTCTCAAAGGTTTCTAGTTTTTCAATCTTACTGCAATAATATGTAGAGATACTTGCTATTTAGAGAGCCTTTTTTTGCCTTTTTTTGCCCTATTTTTTTTTTTTCTGACAAAGCCATTGAAAACTCCCTGGAAGAATTTACTGCAGAAAATGAAAAATCCCAGTAATCACTAGAAAAAATGGTATTGTCTGTGCAGCCAATGTGAAATTAAATGTTTTTCATAGGAAGATAGTAGGAACAGTATTATTCTCTTGCCTTCTTTTTAAAGGTACATATTCTGGGCTTGTGAAAAGTATTTTTGCAATTTTTGAAGGTGTTTGACTGGTGTGTCACCATCATTTTCCTCCCTTTTTTTTTCCTTTTTAGGAACAAGGCTATTCTCCTCCTTTGAATATACCTGAATCAGAATCTCTACCATTTATTGCAAGCAAAGTATCTCAGTATTCGTGTCAAAGGAAGACAACTTTAAATAACTGCAACAAGAAATTCACGGTAATACTTATTCTATCCATTAAATAAAAACTAACTTAAGTAAAATAATTAATACAGTACTTGCACCAATATTTTTGATAGCTCCTTTACCAAATTCAAGAGTTAAAAAGGCAGCATAATATTAACAAGTTTTTAAAGTTATAAAAATGCTATACTTAAAATTGAGTGCAAGCTTAATTGCATCAAGTACTGCTGAAAGCTTAACACAGTGGATGTTGAAATAAACTAATAGCTTGTAAACACATGATTTTTTTAAAAACAAATGGTAGAATAACATTCTGAAAATGTCCTTTAGTCTTCTGTAACAGTCTTATTGAACAATCTGGAAGTAATGCTAAGCAAAAGTTTGGTTTAGGTGAATCCAAGGTACTTCACAATTGCTGTGCTGTCTTCTATTTGCCGAAATGTTTGTTTCTTCAAAAGGCGGTTGTAGACTTTAGAGTTTCAAAATTGCTTAATTATGAAAACAGATTGTGTGATCAATGTAATTACTTTAACATGACACCCCCCCCTTAAATCAGTCTAGTTAAATAGAAATATTAGAGACTATAGTATTGCCTATTTAATACAACATTACACAGTTCAGTGGGTGTGGAAGAGCCCAAGTCATCTGGTCTAAATTCCTCTTGAGTTAGGCTTAATGGCTCCTTTTGGCTTCCTGTTAGATACTCAGTGACAACTATTCAATAGGAAACATTCGACACAGGGACTTTAATGTAATATATAGTCTGAATAAATCTAGCATAGTTACATTTATACATTTCAACTCCAACATGAAACACCTCCTCATCCTCCTAAAGTGTTATTTTTTTATTATTATTTATAATTTTTATGCTTTTACTTTGTGTGTGTGCCTATAAATACACACAAATCTTTCAAGTAAATAGTATTTGTAAGATCCATACAAAAAAGAATAACAACAGATACCTGCAGTGTAAGAATGAAAACCTTTTACAAGGTAAATACTAAACCCTCTGGGAATTCAGAACTAGAGATAAACCTAAAAGCAACTCTAAAATGTCTTGATCTGGGCATTCACGGCTAAAAATTAAACAACCTGACTTTCACCTTGTAGTGATGCTCCTGAGTCACTTCCAACCCCGATGATCCCAAAATTCCCAAAGCTGCTTCTTTTGAAAGGGCTAGCTACCTTGCACCACCTCCTGCAAGAAAACAAGGCTGTGAATGTTATGATTTAACTTCTTGAAAGCTGTCATTGTTACAAATACTAAATACATCCTGCCACAGTGAAGGGCCAGATCAAATGTAGTATGACCCAAAGATTTTGTAAAATACTGTCCTTGGAGAAATAGGAAATAAATGCCTTGATTCTATACATCCTGAAAACTGTGGAATGTGAGATGCTGAATTTTCTGTAGCACGACATTTTGTCAGTCATTCTGAAAGTAAAAAAATAAAAGGAATTTTGATGGATAATGACAAAGTACAATGGCTACTCTTTGAAGGCACAAAGTTGTTAATTTTTAATTGTCATTAACATTTTGAGCAAAAAAAAGGTCTAGAATAAGGTAGCTCCCTTTTAAATAATATCTTTTTAACTTTTTTTTTTGAAACATTTAATACCTTTATTTGGAAATTTGCACAGTACTTTTAAATTTTTGAAGACTGACTACTAGAACTCTACTGAATATATAGTTTGTCTTCTAGCTGTTGAATTTCTGAATTTAGTCCAAGATTCAGTTCAAATTAAAACTATGATAGTAGAAACATATTCATCGAGTGGTTTCTGTTACATCTGTGTTTCACAGAGAGGCAGTCCCTAAATGACTTCCAGGTTTATAATTTCAGCAGTCTTAATCTCAGAGTATTTGCCTCTTGTATTTGATACATGAATCAAATTTCATACAATTATATCAAATTGATATGTCAACTTGTATTTGATAAATGAATTTAGCTGAGCACATAAGAAGCAGGGCAGTTTGAGAAGACTAAAGCACTGAGACTCCCTTCTATTATCCTATATATCGAAAGTTTCTGAGTCTGGGTACAAGTTAGGTTTCATAGTGACAAAAGTGGCAGTTTTTCATCCTCATATATTGAGCATAGGTGTTCTGAGTTGTGGTATTTTATTTCAGGAGGTGGTACTGGAAAAGTTGATAATGTGCTGTCTAACATCTGCATCTTGACAGTTGTAATGTAATTCCTTAGGGCTGTTACTCTTCTCACAACCAAAGCTTGCAATGACAGCTGAAGGCTTGAGTGTTTATGGACTGCAAGAGCTGGACCATTCCCTGGAGGCCTGCCAGTTAGTCTACCTAATGTCACAGGAGCCTGAATTTCTGTGCTTTGTCAGTCTTGTATTAAACCTGTAATTCATGTTCTCAAATAAAAGCGTTCCAACAGGTTGTTACAGTGTGAGCACTTAGCAAATGCACTGAAGCATTGGTATAATTCACTTGTGCATGCTGTGGGCAGCCAACCGTTAAATGACAGATTTTTCCTGGATTGATGTCATACGTTCTGAAAATTTGGTCCAAACCACCTTGAATTATTTGTTGATGGTAGTGTTTTGTTATAACAACTTTATTCTGTGAGCCAGGGTTGTTCCTTTTTCTTATAGATTTTGTGTTTGATTAGCTGGAAGATAATGTTTTTTGATCTTGCCTGTAACAGGGGTCCAAAGCTGCTACTTGCTTATGCACTTACAGATGAACACATGGATTCTTCCTTTTATCAGACTTTGCCCTGATACCCTGTATCAAATTTCTCTTTCATATAAGTATTAGTTATGTTTGAGAAAGAGTAATAGTTATGTTTGACATCTTTTAGTCTCTTCAAAAGAGTAGGTTAACAGCCACCAATAGGCAGTGATGTGTGTACAGTGAGGCTTTGAATGTGCTGATTTCTGGGGAAAGACACTTTTAGAGATTTGATTTCTGGAGAAATTGGTAAATAGTGACCAGTTTTAATATTGGGTCCTGTTCTGTATGCGTTTTACCGTGAAAGACCGTTTATTAAAACCAAGTGGTAATATATTCAATGAGAGGTCATGAGGACAATTTTAACACGCTATGTGCAGTTTCTGTGCTCCACTGTCCCAGTTTCCTTTCTGTAAGAGCCATAAAATAACTTGCAGAAAGGTGCAGTAAACCAGTGTTATATTGTGGAAGAAGCTACAGAGGGGTTGGCAAAGACTGTGCAGGTGACAGTTTCATGACTATGTTCAGTATGGGACAAACCCCATCTGAATTACTTTCTTATGAATTGTTAAGTAGCAGCAAGGCCTGTTGTGTGAAGAATAGACGAAGTATGTGAAATTGCATTTCAAGGAGGAGACAGTGGCATTGTGTGGCAGTTAATGTCCAAGAAATGCAACTGCTTTGGATTTGTGGGTCCTTATGTAGTTTTTGGGTCACTGTGCATCACATACCGTAGCCTCACAGTACGTAGGCTGGGAAGCACTGCCACGAGCTTAACCAATTTGGATGATTCATGAGTGCACCTGAACACAGAGCCCTGACTCCACAGGGGAACTGTTGCTGTTCAGATGGCTAAAGGGCCAGATCATTTCACCAGTTTGTACCTTAGCATGTTTCCTTATTTTTTTGTCTTAAACATTAATGTTATTATAGAATATAATATCACAATACTGTTTTCTGGCTTATTTGTAAACAGCTAGCCATCCTCTTCCTCTCTCACTGAAAATATACACTTGGGGGCTGCATTGTGTTTTCTTGTGGCAAAATAAATGCAGTCATTCTGCTGTGCCCAAGAGGGGTTGTTGGATTTGAATATTAATACCAGACTGCAATAAAATTCAAAACATTCTTCTGTGAGAAAAATACAATTTAATTCTTACAAAGAAACTAATTAAGTCAAAGGCAAATGGTTCTCTGATTCTGAGGCTTATTGCTAATGCTACTGAATGTTTCTCTGCTTCTGCTGTTACTCATCGTAATGTGAATGTGGATGTTTAGCATGGGAAAAGATGCTTGGTTTCCTTTCCACTCTGTTAGAGGGGAAAAGGAAAATCCCTTTATTTTCCCTTCTTTTGTGCCTGCAGAAACATGGATCAGTTATGCTAGTGGCTCAAGCATTTATTATGATTATTCCATTTTAAAACAGACCTCAGGAGAGCCTCAACTTTGATTTTTATAATGAACTTGGGAACTCTACAGGTAGAAAACAACTAACTGAATGCTCTACAAACTTTGTAAATGTATGTGATGTGTATACCTGTTCCAAATGAGATAGTAGTTTGGTCTGAGGCGATCTATGACCTCTTCTCATTGGGAAGGTAAGTGGGAGGGTGCTCCCTAAAATACAGAAAGTAAACATACCTGTACCTTTCAGAAACCCTTGTACGTATACTTCAAGGCTATGCTTGCTTTCTCTTGCCATTTTAAAGCATGTAATATTCATTTAGCATCTTATGTTTGTTATTACACTGTGTGTTTTAATCCAGGGCAGTGTTATGTGATTGACACACTAACTGTGTTTCTGTGCTTTGTCAGTAAATCTTTTTTTTTTTTTTCCACAATTGTCTTGTTTTCTTTTACCTTATGTGGAAAAATATGGAAATTTCTCCAGAGTACCACTTTTTCTGTTGTAAGAAATGAACCTGTTATTATTGGTTAATATGAGAAGCAGCTGGATCTAACAGATATTTATTTCTAGCAACAGTTTAAACAAGGACCTTGAGATCATGCACATTATGCTATTACTATTATTCTCTCAGCTCCTTTGTTTCTCCATCTGATCTAAAATGATGTGATAAAGTCTTTGGACCTTGACTAATATTGGGCCTTTCACTTCAGCTATCAAAAATAAAATTTAACCTCCCCCTCCCCCAAACATCAGATTAAATAAAAATGTGTAATTTTATTTGTTTGGAAATAACTTTAGTCAACACTATAGGTTGGCTCAAATTGTTTAATTCTCCTTGAAATAAGCACCTGACAGGATTTATTCTTTCTCTCTGTGTGTTCAAAACATATTCACATGCCCTATGTCTCTTCCCATTGACACATGAAATTAGG